AACTAAGCAGGGAGTGTTTACTGTATTTGGAAACAAGCATCAATTTAGAGTGGGCGTTAGGGACGATGCGTGGAAGATGAAACAGGAATGGACTTCAGACACGGTTTCTTCAGGCAAACTGTTACGGTTAATCTCAACTGTTAAGTTGAGGGGACCTAGGATCACGTGGGAGACGGGCCTCTGAGCATGCCTATGGGGGACTATCTTGATTAACTGAGATAGGAGGACCTGCCTACTATTGGCGGCACCATTCCCTCTGCTTGGATCCTGAACTGTATAAAAAGGACAACACCAGCTGAGTACCAACCTCTCTCCCTCTCTGCTTCCTGAGTGCGGACTCAATGTGACCAGGTACCTTAAGCCCTTCCTCCGTCACTTCCATACCACAGTGGACTGCAACTGGAATCCCGAGACCAAACCAATCGTTATTAACCTGCTTTTGTCAGGGTATTTTATTATGTGATGGGAAGCATAACGAAGACACAAGCTTAGCTTAAGAGATAATAATATGCCCGGAACCTAACTTGATTTACAGAAGGGGAAACCATGCAGGGTTGTATTAAAAGCACAAGTTTCTACAGCATGCACATGTTCAGATTCAAGTGTGAGCTGGGTGAGTGTTTGCTCATCTGAAAAGGTGGTAGTTTTGGGCCAATTCACCCAAGTTTTCTGGGACTACCGTAACAAAATCCCACTGATGAGGTGACTTAAACGACAATCCTTTCCTTTCTCACAGTTCTGAAGGACAGAAGTCCATGGCCAAAGAGCCAGCAGGGGTGGTTTTCAGAGGCAGAATGTGTCAACTCGTTGGCTTCTCACAAAACCAATGTTTCTGAGATTAAGGTGACAGATATTTTGGCTGTCCTGACAAAGGATGCTTGTTTTAAAAGGAGACAGAGGGGAGCCCAGAAATCCCATGCCAGTGGCCCCCAGGAAATCTGAGAACGAGCCACAGTATTGCAGACAGTATTTGAAGATTATATGCACTCCAGTGAGAGGATGGTCTCCTGGGCAAAAAAAGCTCGGCGGTCCTTCGTCCGAGCCTATGCCACCTACCCTAGGGAGCTGAAGCCCATCTTCCATGTCAGGTCCCTACACCCTGGGCGTGTGGCTAAGAGCTTTGGGCTCAGAGATGCTCCTAGAAACCTCAGTGTCTCTGCTGTGACGAAGAAGGCAAGCTTGAAAAGGCCTGACCCTCGGAGGAAGATCCGGAATAAGCACCACCTTGTGCTCGCTGAAGTCTTGCACTCAGAATACTCGAGTGGGCTGGAGGCCGGCGGCTCGAAGGGTGGCAAGCAAGGCAAACAGCGGGGCTCTCGGGTGGTACCCAGCAAGGCCAGGCCGCGGAGAGAATGAAGCTGCTCCTACATCCAGAAGCTCACCACCAACCAGCAAGCTGCTTTTGGCTTTTTAATCTCTCTACAGGACCAGGTCAGGCCCTGTGGCTTTAGATTGATGTCCTGTTCTTATCGGGGGAAGCTTCCTGAACACAGACCTGTTGGAGGAGGAGCCCTGATGGAAACCAGCAGAGTCCCTCGCCTTTGCTCAAGCCTCTTGCAAGATTGTGCACAGGGACAGAAAACATCCCGTGTGTCAGCCTGGAAGAGTGTGGCTCCTGGTGAGCTTGCCAGATGAAGCTGCCACACATGTATTGCATGAGTGTTGTAAGATGGAATGTTAAAAACTGGAACTGAACTTGTACAAAAGGATAAAGTGTTTGTTGAATAGCTAAAAAAAAAAAAAAAAAATCCCTTGGTTTGCAGATGGCTGGCCTCTGGCTGCCTTTTCACAGGAGAGCTGCCCCTGGCATCTTCTTCTGTGTCTCCTCCCTTCTTTTTCCAAGGACACCAGTCCAACGGCTTAAGAATTACTCCAGAGGTCTCGCTTTAACTTGGTGATTTTCAAACACAACCACATTCTAACATCTATCTGCAGGGCGAGGGTTTCAGTGTGAGGATTCGTGGGGACACAATTTGCTTCATAAAAACTGACCACATAGGGCTGTTGTAAGGATTAGTTACATGAAAGCAACCACGCAGAAACTTCCAAAAGAGCCTGCCTATTCTTCTAAACAACAACAAAAATCCCAGAGGCTATTATTAAATTTATATAAGATGTGAATACATTGCAAAATTTCAGTTGCCGTGGTATAGATGACAAGCGTGAGAAGTTTTCAACTCTCTTCTTCCTATGAAGAATACATTCCTGTTAATTACTCTAGGGGTACGTCTTTGCGTGAAGTATGGGTTGCGTCAGAATATCCTGGGGAGGCTCTACGGGGAGCCCATTACAAAGGGGCACAGTGATGGCTGTTACCTTAAGAATATCATTTGCCCCGGGGGTGAGATGGGTCCTCTTACGGAAGACAGGAACTGTAAGTAGGGGACAGAAGTGAGTGCTGATATAAGGACGTCAGGGAATTAATGTATGTAGACAGCATATGAAAGTAGGAACAAAACCATCTAGGGAACAGTGGGAACCGGCCCAAGGGGAAAGGCTGAGAACAGAGGGTGTGGAGGGGGTATGCGGGGAACAGTTTTTTGCAAGTGTATTACATTCTGGGGTAAGAATGACTTTATGTACCACAATACCATAACAATGAGTGTATACCAGTAAAAACAAAAGAAGCCTGAAAACCCGCTGTTGGTAGTGAGCTATTCAAGGTAGTTTTCACCATATGGAGGTGATCTAGGTAGTACCAAGAGATCAGCACGTTAGGGTCTGCATCCTGCACACTTCATACAGCTTTCTTCCTAGTTCTCTGTAGCTCTCAAACTGTGGTGAAATGAGGGCTTGACTGACCTGCGAATTATGGGATAGATCAGTGTCATCCTAGACTTTTGCCTCCAGCCACCTGCTCTGCCTTGAGAAAGAGGCTGGGTGGGGACCTTGGAGCTGTTCCTCAGCCTGGATCCCATCAGGCCATGTTCCCACTCATGGACTCACCAGAACTCATAGGTTCTCGCCTCTCATGGGGCTGCACCTCCTCAGAGGAGTCTCCAGGAGAAGGGATACAGCTCAGGGAGTCTCACGTTTCTCTAATGCTTGACTCGCCCAAGCCTCTGGGATATTTATGTCTCATTAGATAAAGGACACTGACTTGGAAGTGGACAAGACTGAAGGCTTTGTATGAAATGAAACTTCCTCTTTCTGGAGTTGTGGGGATTGGCTACTCAGTGACAACACGCTTGGGGAAAAGCCAAGGGATTCACACGACTACGGTCAATATAGTTATTAATTATCCTCATGAAAACTGTAATCGCCAAGTGGTATTGCCTGTGTTTCAGGGAAGAAGATGGGATCAGACAGGTCAACAGTTCATCAAAAGGCCCTGCTCTGGTGAGTTGCCGAGCTGGACCTCAAACAAGTGTCTGTGTGACTATTGAAGGTGCTGGGCAAGGTCTCAGGAGGATGCGACCTCTGACTTCCCACCCATCAGCCTTTCTGTTCTACCATAGTTGGAGTCTGCTTAGATCCCGAGCACCCTTCCCAGGGCTGCTGTGCTGGGAAGTGAGTCCAGCTGGTGGTGACAGGCTTTCTCAGGGTGCCTGTGTGTTCAGCATGTCAGAATACTTTTGTGTGTGTGAGGTTTAACGAGAGCCCATCATAAAATTACAATAACACCTTCCCTCAAAACATATGCTTTTGGGATGTCAGCAGAATCACACATCTCACACTTGTTATATTTTCATGAGAAGAGTCTTTAAAAAAATAAATATTAATCCATTTTCTATAAACAGCCCTCAGATCTCTGGCTTCCTGTCATCATACCTCTGCCGCCTCGGTTCAACACACTTTCTTCTCTTCTGTTTTTATGACCAGTTTCCTTCCTGTTCTCCCTATCTCTAATCTATTTATGTCATGTCCATTTTCCCCTTGGTGGCCAAAATAACCTTTCTAGAACACAGGTCCTGCCATGCTGCCTTTCTGTTTAAAACTCAGTTCAGCTCTTTATTGTCCTAGAGGACAATGCTAACCCCATGGCACACTCTGCATGGCCTTTGTGCCATCCCATTGGGCCACCATCAGCCCTCACATCCTATCATTTGCATGTTCCACCTCTTCCGGGATTGCACTGTCTCCCAGACTTCATGGTCGCTGGTCCCCTAACTGTTCTCTTGACCTGGCCTTGGATTCATGATCCTCCTACCTCTGCCTTCTGAGGCTTGGATTAAAGGCATACACCACCATGCTTGGCCTCTCTGGAAGTTTTTCTTATTTAGTAGATATGTTAATTTCTCCTTCATGTAATTTTTTTCATACTACACAGTAACTAGTTTTCTTGTGGTTTTGACAGCATACCTAACAAAAGGAAACACATAGAAGGATTTATTTGGCTCACAGTTTGAGAGGGTAGGTCCATTGTGGTGATAAATTGTGTACCCCAATAAAACTTATCTGGGGATTAGAGGACAGAGCCAGCCACTAGATTAGACATAGAGGTCAGACAGTGGTGGCACATACCCTTAATTCTATCACTTGGGAGACAGAGATTGGTCTGGATCTCTGTGAGTTCAAGGCCACACTGGGAACAGGAGCCAGGCATGGTGGCACACACCTTTAATCCAAACAGTTGAGATCTCATGGGAAGCACACATGCCTTTAATCCCAGGAAATAAGATGGCAGGGCCAAAAAAAAAAAAAAAAAAAATTTTTTTGATAAAAAAAAAAAAAAAAAAAAAGAAATATATAAGGCATGAGGAAACAGGAAGTCTCTCTCTTGAGATTGAGGATTTCGTAGAGGTAAGAACATGGCTGGCTTGTTCTGTTTCTCTGATCTTTCAGCTTTCACCCCAATATCTGGCTCCAGGTTTTTTTTTTTTAAATTAATAAAACCATTTAAGATTCATGTTACAGTCCATCATGTTAGGGAAGACCTGACAGGGTTCTCAGTAGTTGGACTATGCAGCTGGGATACCTCATATCTAAGAGAACTAGAAAGCAAAAAAAAAAAAAAAAAAAAAAAAAAAAAAGAACGCAGTACTCATCTGTCATTTTCC